CAGTCTGACCGCTAGATGTCGCTAAAAGTTACACACTGTAGCTTTAAAGCTTTCTTTTCCACATGGTTTAGTTCTTTATTAATTGTTATAAAAGTACTTTTGTCTGCTCACTTAATTGTTGTTTTGGTTAATTTGAAAGATTTTCAACAGTATCTGTGAAACCTAGCAGAACTTGTATGTATTTAGAAGAATTCAGGTTAAAAGTTTCACTGCAGTTAGATAATGTGTACAGCTGCATGTTGTCAGCACTGAAACTGTTTATGAAATCTCCTAGTATGATAACATAGACACTAAAACCCCTGCAGATTGTTTTGATTGAAGATGGTAAACATTTTTCAACCAGGGATAACTAGTAGGAACTAGGAAATGTGATTGCAGGCACCAGGCTGTGGCATCTGTCTGAATACGAAATAGATTAAATAAACTCGTTTCTTTTTTTAGTCTTAAACAAAATGTATGGCAATCTAAATTTGGTTAGCTTTTTCCAGTCCTAAAGAAATTTAAGGCATTAAATAAAAAATGTTTTAGTTTTTCCTAGAGAGGAAATCACTGTGACCATTGCTTGAAAAATTGCCTGGAGATAAAATTTTTAATTCTACTAAAAGTCTTGATCTGGATACTTCTCTGATATAATTATAAAATAAAAAAAACCAAAACAATAACAAAAAGATCACCATTTCCCAAACTTAGATTTGTCAAAAACATTGATACTTTGAAAAGTAACCATACTGACACGCTGTATCCAGATGCAGTACTAATTTGCCGCAGTATCAATATCAAAGACAAATGTTGTTTGGACATTTTTGCTGCTGCTATTTGTTTTATTTCTAGGCTGTTTCCACAGAATATTACCTCAAACAACCTTAAAATATTGTGAAATATTTTATATTTTGGTAAATGTATTTGCGCAATTATTCCAAGAATAGAATCTGATTAATCTTATGTTGAGAAGCATGTTCCATTTTCATATTGATAAAGTTAAGCTTTTCATGGTACTTTCAGTCACTTTTTTGCCAATGTAAGTAATCTTAATTTTTTAAGTCAAAAAGCAAACTTTTAATAGGAACAACATAACATTTAAACTAAAAATGAAATGTCATTTCATTCTGTGGCTCTTTGGTTCAGCTGCTCTCTTGATTTATTTGATGATGATAAAATGATAAAATATTGCCCTGATTTCATTCTTCTCTGTGTCCCCATGAAAACACCATGGGTTATTGATGTACAGGTAAAAATTGAGTTTGATTTTGTTTTTAAGACATTTAGCTTTTTACAGTATCATTTTAGTCATTTGCAGATGTTACAGCAACTTAATTTTTGCTGAACTGAGCCTGAGAACCACAAACGTAGACTGGAAAACTGTGAATCTGGCTCTGACATCCTAAAAAGAGAATGCAGCTCTGACTTAAAATATGTACTTCTATTGGTAACAAGCAATCTAACTATGTTTGCCCAACTTTGTTTAAGTTTTCAATTTATAACTTAATAAATTAAGTTGGTCCAACTCGATTCAGTCCCTTATTACCAACTTAAGCAATTAATCTAAGTTGGGGCTTCATTTTCTATATAAAGTGTAAAAAATGAATTTATAGATTTTTAGAATTTATAAAATTTTCAGACAATTTGACAAGCAACAATAAATGAATCAACCAAATACAGACTAGTTAAGATCAACCAAACATGAACACCGATTTCCAAACTAAATTCATCTGAACATAAATACAAAACAAAACCCTCCATCACTGAAAAAAAACCAACTGATTTTTTTATGTTATTTCAGTTTAATATGGGGGAAAGTCAGAATTCTGAGAAAAAAGTAAGTATTCTGAGAAAAAAAGTCAGAATTCTGAGATTAAAGTCAGTATTCTGAGAAAAAAGGTCAGAATTCTGAGATTAAAGTGAGAATTTTGAGAAAAATTCTCATATTATACTGAAATAAAATCTAAAAATCAGTTCACTTTTTTTTTTTTTTCATTTGCCCTGACATCAATTAAAGTAAATTGTCTGTAAAGGAGCATAAACTTCTGTTTTTTTTTATGAGTGGGAATCCTTTAAATACGTTTCTGTACTTTTAATCGCTCTCATGCAGCATTTTTTCTTATTTAATGGATTGTATTCAACTGTAAAGCATGATAAAGTAAACGTCTCCTCAGGTCATGAAAAACAAGAATCCAGGTGGCATGAAGGGGGAGGAGCCTCCTGAAGCCTTCCTCAGCTTGGATTTCTCTCTCCTGTTATGCATGAGCCTTGTCCCTTGCACGTCGTGTCTTCCGCTAGCTAAACATAGAATGGTAACCGTCACCATTTAGTTCCAATAACTTTATATCCATCTCTCTGTATCAGCAGAAACCAGAAGAAGCAGCAGGTGAGTGAAACCAGGAAGTAGTCGGTGACCACCGTTAGCTCTGACCTTGGTTTGGCAGCTGAAACGTTTCGCAGCTTAGCACAAATACCCTTTTTATTAATTTTTTCGGAGATTTTTTAAATTAATTTTCGTTCACTTAAAACGGAGTTTTTTGTTTTTCTACAAGTTAATGGCTTTTAGCGTTAGCTTTGTTCCCAGACAGGGATTGGTTTTAACAGCGCAGGGAGAAAAAAAAATCCAACATCTTTTTTTTTTTGAGTACCGTCATAAATTAAAGCATGGGAGACATATAACTATTACATTATTACTGTCGTAGACACTCCATGGGTTTTAAGTATATTGAGCGACTAGAACTTTCTGTTCCATCCAGTGGTTTTCCAGGTTAGCTGCTGGTTTATTAAGGAAAGTTGCTAATGGAGCGGGTTAAGCACTGGGCCTTGTTGACTCATTCCTGAATGCACTGCCTGTCCTTTATTTGTATTTTGGAAAAGTTAAATGCATTGTGTTTGAGTATTGTAGAAAACAATTATTTATTAACCATGAAAGTTTCATGTATTTGTAGTTAAGGCAGTTTTAATTGCGTTATTACTGCATATAACTCAGCTATAACCTCTTATTGTTAAACTGCACTGCTTCCATTTAGCATTTTTTATCAATTAATATTTATTAACATAAAAAAATATAGTAAAACACAAATTGTAAGAGCATAAACTAACTTTACTGTGACTGTTACATATTTTACAGCTCTTCATATAAAGCATGGGCAAGTATGAGGCTTCAGAAATGTGTTACTTCAGTAAGAGTGAGAGCCAGTGTTGGTTTAATTTAGACTTGTTGTGTTTCTCATATCTCCTTCCTAACAGCTTCATTGTTTTTTCTCTTAGTTTGGTGTGATAGAAACAGTCTGGTTTTAGCCAGCTGACTGGCAGTGTGGGCAAAAAGTGGGGTGGGGTTGTGTTGCATTCCTAGAATGTTTGATACAGCTAGAGAAATGTAAAGATGCATGTTTGCTCTGATGCGACGGCTGACTGAATTTCAACCGACTGAATCAAACATGTTTGATTTTTTTCCCGACCTTACGATTCCTGTTGAGGAGGTGGGGAGAGGCTGATCGCCCCTCATTACCCCCCTTTACACTACACTAAATTCTCGCACGACTGGAGAATCGGCCCGAAAAAGAAAAAAAAAAATCGTAAAGTGTATTCCCAGCAATGCTTAGGATTAGGTGATGATAAAACCATGTCCATACTTAGAAATAACTTTGAATCTGTAAACATTTAAATTAGTCATCAGTGACTGCTGGAGATGGGTGTTGCTTGTTCTGGATTTTGAAACATTATAGCAAATTCAGCTTTTAATATTCAATTTCAAAGAACTGATATCAGATAAAATGGCAGTAAAGTTGTTAGTTAATATGTTTGACCTTTTGGGTTAACTTTGACTGACCATAACCTAGCCTTCAGCTTGGTTTTTAGTGGCTGAGAAAAAAAAAGTGTTGGAGAAATTGCAGTAAAATGAGAAAATAAAAAACGTGATTAATTAGGGTTGTGCAAAATAATCGTCATGATGATGCATCGTGATTCTAATTTTCGTGATCTACTGCATCGATTCTTGACGCCAAGTATCGATTATTAGTTTAAGAAAATTAATAAATAAAATTGCATGATTGTTTTTAGAACATCAGCCAAAAAAAAGTGTAATACAACTTCCAGTCCAGTAGATGTCGTTGCGGATGTGTTGACGCACGCTGCCTTGTGTCACAAGCATTTCCAGCTGCGGGATATTGCGCCCAGTCATTCAAAAACAAGACATGGAGGAGATTGAGAAACTTTCGTCCGGCTCCATCACATTTCAAATCCAATGTTTGGAAGCATTTTGGTTTTAAAACCAAAGGTAAAAATGAAGTTGATATGATGCACGCAATTTGCAAACACCGCTACACCAGAATTAAATACTGTGGGAACACAAATATTGCAATGCATCACAATAATTCAAGTATCGTGATGCATCATGATAGAATCGCATCGTGGCCTGTGAATCGTGATTCGAATCGAATCGTGACTTCTTTGGCAATACCCACCCCTATGATTAATCATAATCCACCTTATTGTGATCATTTGTAGGAATTACACGTGTTCTTTCTGTTAGGGAACCTTAGAGTTATGAAAGCGAGATAAAAATAAGTACAAAAACCCTGAATTTCTCTTTCCCACATCAAATCCGTGATTGGTGACATTGAGGTAAAGGCAGAGATTAAATTAAGTGCATCTATGTGAAAGCAAACTAATCATGCACTAAATGGTGTCAAAAATCCATATATATTTTGACCTCATCCATTGTATGCCTTATTGACAAAAAATAAGGCTAGAATGTCCGAAGAATGACAAAAACCTCTTTGGGCTAAATCAGTGATACATTTAACAACTTATTTCAACAAAATTGACATCATTGTTTGGCTTTTTAACTAGGCTTTATCAGACTCTTAACATTATTTGCAAAAAAAAACTGATATTCTTAACTAGGACTTCAAAAAACGCTGGCTAATGCATTTTTTATGCATTTAGTTTAATTTTTTTTTTTTTTTTTTTTTTTTTTTTTGTTTAATATTATTTATTTAAGGGTTAGCCATATATCATGAGTTAGATATATCCATGGCATTTTACTGTTATAGCCTAAAACAAACAAATTCAGTTTTACAGAATGGCTCAGAGTTGAAATGATTGGTCAGTTTGTGTTATTATTGGATTAATTAATTTGATAAAGGACAAGTTTTGTTGTGAAAAAAAAAAGCTTGTCCAAGGTTGTCCTAAGCATTTTAAGACCTAAAATAATACCTGAGAGCTGACATGACTACTGTTGTTACAGCTCTGTCTGTCAGACAGACGACACACATTGACTTAATTTACCAGAGAAAATTCTTGCCTAACATTTATCTGAGTGAAGGAAAAAAAACAAAACATAATTAGATCCAAAAGCCATCCAGATTAATTTAGGAATGACGCTCACAGGCCTTCAAACAGATAGCTGTACTCAGCGTTTTGGTGTTGTGGACTGGAAAGCAAAAAGACAACGCTGGCAGTTATGTCTTGTTTGAATTTAATTAACAGGAGCATACTAAAAGGGCCCACTGTACCAGATGGAGAGCAGACAGGGAGCAGCCGCTCTCCCTCACTCTTGACACACATGGAGACACTGCACTGTAAACGTGGGGGTGGGGAGGGAGCCGGGATGAGACGATGAAGTATGGAAAGGCAGCGCGAGTTTGGGCTTGACTGGGAAATTATCCAAGAAAACTGTGGGATTGAAAAGGAAAAAAAAAAGTGGGTGTGAAGAGCAGAGTTACCATAAAGGCAGCTGGTGTCATCATTATACATTTTGTTTTTCATTATTCATCACCTTTTGGCAAAAGTGTGAAACTAAGCCATTCAGGTTAGTTATGCTTTAAAACTTTCCATTCATTTATTTATGTAAGCGCTTTGAAATATTCATGTAAGGCTGAAGGTGGCGCTAAGCAATTAAACAACTTCAATCATTTATAGAAACATAAAATGTCAGTAAAGATGACAAAAATGGCACATCGCCCAAAAGGCGCTACCTGGGTTCACAGTTATCTAAGTGTTTCTATAGGTGGGAGAAGAGATTAGAGTCGTTAGAGTGAACTGCATTTGCAATACTGTCTGAAAACATTTACGATTTTAACAATTTCAAAATTTTTAAACAGTTTCAAAATTATATCTCAGTTGTTGTTAATTTCATGTGACATTTAACATTGAATCGGATACCATGGGCGTTACCCTTTACCATCTTCGATCTTTAACTTGATGATTAGTGAAACCATTCAAATAAATAAAATCAAAACTGATTTTACTCATAACACCCAGATCTAACTGAATAGTTTGTTTTTTGTCCAGGGAAACCTTGGTGGCCGATGGCTGAGAAGGAGCTGATTGTTCATTTCTTCCAGCCTGCGCCAACCTTTAGCTCTTACTCACCTCTTAGTCACAGTCCTGTCTACATTCAGATGTAATAACTCAGTTAACTTTCTCTGCCCACGCCTCTAACTAGTGCTTTTTACTCCACTGTTTTATTTAGCACCGTCACAAACTGTTTACCTAAAGGAGTGCACATTAACTGTAAAGGCTGTTGTCAAATTAAGGCAAAAGTGTTTTATTCTGTTAAAAACCAAATCACAAATTTCTTTCAAGGTTAATGTTGATCGCAGTTGTCTGTCTGCTCTTTCTCTCTAGCATGGGGGCCGTTGAGGAGAAACAGGAAAAATGTGGGACTGTCTGCCTGAAATACCTGCTGTTTACTTTCAACTTTCTTTTTTGGGTAAGTTTTCATTTGGGTACACAGAGCCCAAGCCAGTAGTTCCCAACCCACCCTGAACTAATAATAGCAGTAAAAGGCCAGGTTTAAACTACAAAACTGTCACCTTTGAAGTGTAATTATTGAAGACGAACCGATTATTTTACTGTGTAACAGAATTAAACTTTGCCTTCGAAATTTACAAAAAACAGAACAAAGACCAAAAGAATCCTGCATCTCCCATGACGTTCCGGCTTTTCAGGGGGTTTGCGTCTATCTACCAGTATGGTAACAATGCTGTTTTTTATTGGGTAGAAAAACAAAACACGGACCAGCTGATTGGGAATCCTTCTCAACCTGAACCCTCAACCCCTGCCTACAAAGGTTACTCTATCCGTCGGACAAGACAACAGCTAATGAATCTGAATAACTTCGTATGAAGCTCATGAATGGTCTATGTTTCCAGAGCGCTGACTTGAGGTCCTCAAACAGAAAGGTTTCTTATTTATATGTAAAAACAATGTGGTAAATGACTTTCCATTGCAGCCTAATTGGAGCATAATTCTAACGGCTTTCAGCATAACCAGTTGTTACACTAGAATGGGCCGGGCAGAACCCTGGGAGCGGGAGCCCATAGGTCAGTTAAAGAACCGATCGTGACAAACTTCCGCCTGCTGCACTAAAATAGCACTAGCAAGAACCCTAACTTAAAGGCAATTGGCAACACTGCACCGTCGTAAAAATGAAAGTCTCCCATGTTTTGTAAGTTGATAGCAGACCACTTTAAACGGGTGTAGAGTCCATGTATAGACATGGCCACATTCACCCTGCTAGATTAAATCCTTCATCAGAGAACCAAATGTCTCTGATCAGTTAACAGTCATTTCTGTTTTGTTGGCCAACAACAACTGTAGCTTAGTTAGCTGTGGTGTTTAGTTGGAGCTCAGATTGCTGTAGGGCATCACTTTGGGTCACATGACTCATTCAGTGATGGCTCCAACCATCTAAAATTACATAACATAGAGGAATAGCCCACTCAGAGTATTGAAATATGTTAACCTGAAAATAATTTAAATATCTCAAATTAGGCTATAACTTGGGTCAAAAGTTAAAGTGGTTCTTTAACAAGTGGGAAAATGTTCTATAAGCTTTGTATTTCATTGAAATAGCTTTTTGTAAAGCAGGCGTCCTGTAGTTCGACAGCCATAAGTGGCTCTCTGGACACTGAACAATGGCTCTTCAGAACTTTGGCTAGAAATTATAAAAAACAGACAGCTAATTTTTTTTAAATTATTTTTATTTAATTGCATAAAATTTCCAATGAATTTCATTTTAAAACCTTAGATTGAAATAAAATGATGGTTATTTATAATGCACAGATCTACCGTGGTAAAAAAAACCCAAAAAAAAAAAAAAAAAAAAAAACCATACAGTGTTAGTGGCTCTAAACAAGATTTTTTTTCTACCCCTGATTTAAAGTGATGATGGTAAATCTAAAATCCCATTTGTTTCGCCAATGAGGCAGTCAGCATTAGAAACACATTTTCCTGTTTGTGCCTCGTTTTAAGTGTGAATCAACACTCTCTGCTCTGCACATATGTGATAATGAATCAGTTGGCTTCTCTACTGGAAACAGAGCTGTAAATATTAGCTGCAGTAGCATGACCAGAGATGTCTGGAATCCTTTTTTGACCAAATTCAATTCAAAAAGTGACTTAACAGATTTAACAGGAAAAGTGTGAGTCAGTGTATATGTCTCATCCACCTTTTTCTTTGTTTGACACCTTCTTCTTCTCCTTTGACTATTTAAGCTGATGCAACGAGTACATTTCTCCACTGTGAGATCAATACAGTCAATCAATCATAGGGGTATGGAAAAAAATCGTTTTGGTAATATATTGTGATTTTTGGCTGCCTGATATAATATCTTTTAGTTCGTAGTATCCATGTTTTTTTTTTACCTATAACTGAGGGAAAATGGGGTACCTTTGTAACGCCACTCTGGCAGATAGTGCTGTGGAGACCTTTTGCTGTGCAGCACAGTGCTATACCTGTAGTTTAGGCGGTCACAATGGAAGACATGGACTGACTCAAACCCCAAGCAACATGGAAACAAAAATTACTGAATGATCATTATCATCTGATGAAGATATACAGAGGTTGCTTTTTATCTATGCATTCAATTTTGATAGCAGGAAAAATATCGAAATATATGGTGATATTGCAATATAGTGATAACAGCGTGTCAGGACCCAAGTATTGTGACACATATCGCATCGCGACACTCATGCTAATTTTCACCCCTAATCAATCAATTAATAAAATTGTTAGAAATAAACATTTTTTTTGCAGGAACCGCATTTATATTTACGCTGCTAGTGTGCATGACGACACTGAACAGAAATCTAAATTGGCTGCATATCGTTTTTGTTTTTTTTGTTTTTACCAGTACCTTGGATTTACTAACCTATTTTTATGAATAGACACATTTTCCCCTCAATCCCAGCAGATCCTAAGAAATTCTACTTGCTACCACTTGGTGTCGCCAAAGTTTAAGCTTCAGATGATTGAGGATCTGAAATCATTTATTTGCAATATTTTAGAGTGTGTAAGCATTAGAGGAAAAGATTAGTTGAATTGCTTTCATTTTGCTCCTTTTTACTTCTGTTTTAGTTTTAGTAAATTCAGGTGGATGTAACACACCTATTATAGGGTGAATAATCTACTGTTCTAATCTTTTTTTAAATTACTGTGTGGGATTATAACTCTCATGTATATAATGAAACCGTTTTAAGTTGAATTAATACGACTTTCCTTATTTATTATTATTTTCAAATCTTATATGCTCCAAATCTTTTAAACCACCTTTATGGTCGTAAGAGTTGTGGCAATTTACAGGACTACAGCTAAAGATTTAGATGAGCTTTTCTCTCTGCAGAAAGGATAAATTATGATGAAAAGCATTGTGTTTTATTGCTGACTTTACCTCAGAATGAATTAAAACCAAACTTTGGAAAGTACTTTAAACTGGCTTAAATACACTTTGTATATATTTTTTAATGCAGTTCTGAAAAGTATTGATAGATGAGTAACTTCTGGGAATGTAAATGTAAATCCCTTTATTGTACCACAATGGGGAAATTTGCTCTCTGCATTTAACTCATCCCCTAACAATAACAAACAATAGTAATAAACTTTATTTGAAACACCACTCAGAATGGATAACAATTCAAAGAGAAAACCTGGAGATAAGTTTTCTGGTGAACTTGTCATGTTTCACACGTTGAACTAGATATGCACAGTTTTGATCCTGTTACTTGCTGCAAGAGAGGACAACAGTCAAGTATGTGATGCTCTGCTATGCTCAAACGTTTTTTTTTCTTTCCAATTATTAATATTGGAAAAAAATGTTTGACAAACCTATTTGGAATCAGAGTTCAGTCAGGGATATTCCTGACTACAGAAGAGTGGTTGAATACATAAATTCCAATATATGCAAATCACACAAACCGTTGCGGTCCATCAGGTGACAGGAACCATAATCCCATCCGTTCCTCTTTTCCAGCTGGCAGGAGGAGTTGTGATGGCAGTGGGTGTTTGGACCCTGGTGGAAAAGAGCGACTACATAAGCCTTCTCCCTTCCAAGACCTACGCTGCCTCTGCCTACATACTGGTCCTAGCTGGAGCCATCGTCATGGTAACAGGTGTTCTGGGATGCTGCGCCACTTTCAAGGAGCAGAAGAAGCTGCTGTTAGTGGTAAGAGATCACACCAAGGTAGAAATATAATGGAAGATGCCTGCAACTTCAGTGCTGTGAAGCCATTACAATGTGTGAAAAAGAATAGACAATTCTGGTGCACAGCATCAACAAAAAAACAAAACAGAAGAGCATGTGAGCTAAGGCCTGTATCACGATAAGAGTTCAACGTAGCGGATTTACTCTCAGCCTTTCCAGTTTAAACAATCCACACCAACGGCAATCAGGTTCAGCAGTACCACGAAGCTGGTTATCAACTCGGTAACTCTATCCAGTTGAACTGATCACAAATCTGTGAACATGCATGTGTAAAGGGGTGGGTTCAAGGTAGCAGACCAATCAGAATCATAATGGGATTTAGAAGGAAGAGTACAGCATTTCTCCTGTGAGGATTGAAAGGTCAAACATGGCGGCTGAATGCGCAGGTTAGACATCAGTAACATTTAACACACCCTTCATCCCAATCACTGTACTGCATATTCATCACGTGCCCCTCCAGAGTGAAGAGGACTTGGGAGCAGATCAAAATAAAAGACAAAAACATTATTTTATCTGGTTAGTTGGACTTTTTAACTCAATTATAATTGGGCTACAATAAAGCTGGGAGCTGATGCCACTACTCCTTGCATCATATTAATACAAGAAGTGATCAGTCTGAGTGAAATCATCCTGCTTTCTGTGCTGAGTCAGAACTCAGCAGGACAATTGTTAAAAATCTGCTCTGCTTTTAAAATGGTAAACAGATGCATTGGAGGACCAATGCATCTCTAAATGTGCAGAAATACCTTTATGTCTTGAGAGAGAGGAAATTAGACATAAGAAATTAAAAAGGTTGGTATGTCAAAAAGAGGAAAAATAAATTAATAAAGTTAACACTTCAATTTCTCAAGAACATATTTTGTTGTTGTGATGTTGTTTTAAGGTCTTTCTCCCTCTGAATTGAATCAGTGCTTCGCTCAAATGGCGTGTCATTATTTCCCGAACAGCTGATTGGCTGCTGGGTGAACCGTTTTCTAAGATCCAGATCAATCCTGAAAGCTAGCCTGACCTGAAGCGGGTTTGCTATTCAGAGTATGTTACCATGGTGACTAGCCTCGCTAAGAATAAATCCAACTTCATGGTACCGGTCTAGGTACCATGAAGTTGGTGCATGCCAGTGACGTCACGTTACATGATTGGCTGAACATTGCCACATGATGTAAAACTATACTTGCTTTAGGCATCCAAAAAAAGTAAATGAAGAAGTGTCGAGGTAGGGATACCATTGTGCTGTAACATTATCAGATCTAAGCTTACAACAACAGTATCTAAACATTATGTTACCCAGCGAGAAACCTGTGAAAAACCTCACAAAACAGTTTTCTTATACAGACATTTAGTAGTCACAGTAGTGATTTCATTCAGACGGTTGCAGACAGTGAGGTTAACCCTGTGGCCCTGCAGTAAGAGGTTCCTATGCTCTCTCTAAATGTAGTTTGCATTTTGTGAGAAATATGCATAAACTGCTTTCTCCCTGCAATCCAAAAACATAACCCTTAGATTAGGTCTCTCTGTATTTCCAATAAACATCCTGCAAATTATGATTTGGGATTGCTGATTACTAAATGATCTGCTCGGTTTGTGATATCTCCGTCCAGCAAAGGGCGTGATTGCTGATTGTTGTATGCCCTGTTATGGGTATGCGTATGGATTACTATCTCATACCGGTATAAATACTCTCCATTTATTTAAATTAGGAGTGAATTACTGGTGATTTGAGGTTATGTGTTCATTTTTCCCTCCTTACAGTAACTTTTATCCTTTTTTCCCCTGGCTATTATAATACATTTGTTTTTGCTAAACACGCCCTTAAATCGAAATAATCAGGTTTTTGTGACAATATATCCATCTGTATACTAACAATAGAAAATCCTGATTAATCTATTTAATTTCTATCTCAACAATTATTTACCATGTGACCTCTTCTTTTATGTTGTGATTTAAAATGCTTGATGCATCCCAAAGAGTTGCGATTACATCAATGAATCACTGTGAGAGAATGCACTTGCCAGCAAGGAGAGATGCTATCTGGATTGTTAATAGAAGTTGAACATAAGGACAGAAAGGAGGGGGAGAGTGGGGAGATAAGTGTGTTGTGTGGGTATGTCGGGCGTTCTTACCTGTTTCTTTATTATAGTACACAGACCCACACACATGCACACTCTGATTGGCACCTTTGTTGTGTAACCTGAAGGTCACAAGTTCTGATGTCTTTTCACTCCACAGTTTCACTGCAGTATATTACTGCTTTAAGACTTAAATAAACCAGCTGCTGTTGCCTTTTCTTAAAGCAAAAGACTTTTGGGAAGGATATGGATAATGCTTACAATACACAAAGTATGAAGGAGGTCAGAAGGAGCAAAAATCTAAAGAGCAATGAGCAAAGGAGGTGTGGTGAATTTTTGTAAATGCACACCTCATTTGTATTTATACTGGAAAAGAAACAATAGGGAGAGGATAACAACACAGTTTAATGGAGATCAGTTCTTTCTGTGGGTGAATCCTGCTGTAGAAAATGACAGCATGCAGTTTAACTTCTTTTTTTAATATCTAGGTTATCCTGCTTTGGGTGCAGTGAAAGAGAAAAGCACTTTTAGCAGATAACAGGAAGATTAGCTGAGTTAGGTTAGGTTGGTCTATTCCATTCTTTCAAGCTTTAACTTAGTCTATCATTGATCATGCTGTATCTGAAGTGTTGGCATTAGGCCTGATTGATTTAAACCAAAAAATGATTTGCGATTAATTTTAACCAAAATTAATTGTGATTTTATTTTGATTTTTCTTTGCATGAACAGAGCTTGTATATGTTGCACCCCAGGTTTTCAGGTTTTAAAGGCATGCTTGCCCAGAGTCCATTGATGCAGGACTTTACTGTAATCTTTACGTAAAAAAATGCTTACTTCTACTTGCAAGCATTTATCTGCTTGCTAGCTACAACTCTCTTTACCTTTCTGTGTGATGACCAGCTCAATTTAAGGATTTTACCGCCACTTCTTTCTTTAGCCACTTAAAGGCCTGGATATGATCTCATAAAAATTAGATAATTTATAACATTCACATGGTTAGATTTTCAGGGAACTAAATTTCATTGAGAATTTCAGGCTATTTCATCCAGACTTAAGTCCGGTTTTCCAGTTATTTCATATCATGTAAACTTTTATGATTATTTCCCTTAAAATAATCAAAACGGGATAAAAACTGGAATCAAAACAAGGAATCAGGATCAGAACTGGAATCATTCAAACTCAAACAAAGCCCAATCCTAGTGAAGAGCAAGGTGAATTTTATTAGACACATAAATAAACACACATGCTGAGGTGTCAGTATTTTGGTTTCACAATCTGCTTCTCAACATTCATGTTTTCCTTTAACTATTTTTTCTTATCTAAATGCACGTGTTGTCTCCCCTGCTTCCCATTGATTTTTTTTTTTTATCTAGAGCAGTAGGCTGGCAGAACTGCAGACAGGCTAAAGAGATTGCTTCTTTGGACTTCATTTTATTCGGAGCGGCTGTTCAGAAACCTGATGGGGCTTTCATGACTAATATGTTCACCGGTCATGAACTACAAATGAAAGTGTTTACTGAGTCAGTCAGGGGCTTCAAAGGATATTTCAACCTTTAATAAGAACTAGATAAAAAGCTGTGGGGTAGGGTTCGTCTCTGAGAATGGTATTCAAATAAATTTGTGAGTTAGAAAACACTTGGTCTAAGAAACCCAATAGGACGTTACAGACTGTCAGCAAAAACAGTGTTGGTTTGGAATCTGGACGCATTCTGTTTGTACCTGTGCTTCTTAATGCACGTTACTGAGCGGTGATGAACGTCATGAATCACAGAGAAGTACTGAAGTTGCAAAGGTGGAGTGATGGCCGCAGGAAATGGGGTGACTGGGGTGCTTAAGCAACCCCTAGTGGCGAGAAGGAGATTTTTGAAAAATTAAAAATAATTTGCACAATTTATAAATTTGTGCAAAGTATTTTACCTTTTTTATTTTACTATTACATGTATTTGGATTTTAATTTAATTATTTTGAGGCCTAATCAACACAAGTCCATGGACAGGGTTCTCCACGGGTCATTAAAAATCATTAAAAGTCATAAAATTATTATTTTTTCAAATTAAGGCCTTAATTGGCAATGAAATTAATTAAATGTGATTATTGTGGCATTTAAAATGCTTTATTAAAAAAAAAAAAGAGTTTATAAAAACAATTTCGTCAGACATATTGCGATATATTTGCGGGGAACTGCTTCCGGTTGACCGTAAAGCCTTATGTTTGGAAAAAGAAGCTCGAGGCAGAGAAAAAGCTAGAGAATGGGAAAATGCAAATTTCAACAAAAGTGGCTGGAAAAAGAGGAATTTGGGACATGGCTGCAGCCTGTCGACAGGAAAGATGAAGGATTTTTGGCATTAAAGTTTTTTTCTATTAGCATTAAAAGAGCATTAAAAGGCATTAAATTAGAGTTTCTACATTCCTGTATAAACCCTGATGGAAGTTACATTGTCATGGCAACGTCAAGCAAGCGAGTGGTTGCAGCGGTATCCCGCTCGTGGCAGCAGACTAGTAAATGTACATAGTCTAATGACAGAAATGAGGAAGAAATATGGCACAGAAACGCATTTTGGATTTTTTTGGAAAACCACCTCCAGTGAAGAAGAACTTTAGAGACACGACAACAGAGAGCAGCCAGAGTGAGGACACTGTCCGCCCGCCTCTGATAGTAGTTGCACCGGCAGCCCAAGCACCTGCAGCCTAAGCTAGCGTGTAACCAGGACACATCAAGTGCTTTTAACTAGTTCAAAGTAAGAGCATGGTGCCGCCGAGCACTTTCATATCTATCCATGCAGTTTAAGATAGCTATAGTACTTTAGAGAGTGTTATTTTGATCTTTGATCTATTTTGATCTTTTGTTCTTTGTGTAATGGGTGTGGAGAACTGTTCAGTCACGTTTACGTAGTAGAATAATATAATTAAAGCTGAAGTCTGTAAGTTTTTAAAAATCACTTTTTTGTCATATTGGCTAAAACTGTCCCTATGCTCAGACAGCAGTACATGTGATATGTAACCTGTGAAAAAAACTGCTTCAATTGGTCCCGCCTACTGCCTGTATTGCAATCTGGAAAGAATATTTCGGGACGAGACAAAACAACCAATCACAGCCAGAGGAGCGTCTGATGGAGTGTCAATCACAGCTCACACACGCTGAATCCCGCCCCCTCCCTCTCACCGCTGAACCTGCCGCTTTGTAACTTCGGTATAACCAGCATCTTATATCTAGCTGCTTGGAGGTGAGTGTTATCGCTCTTACCGGTTCACACTCCATGCCGCGTACGCTGCTTGGACGCTTCTGGTCGCATGCGGTAGCCGCGCAGATGCTGTGAGAGGGGTGGAGCTTGGAGGTGGGACATGAGTGAAGCAGAGAGGGTGGGGGAGTGGCGTGAAACCTGTTTTTCTTCAAATTTTCAGTCGAAGTCTGCTCTCTTCTCAATGTAACAGACTGCAGCTTTAAGGCCTTATGGTTTGTGTAAATGGATTTTAGAGTTAAAAAAGTCACATGTGACATAAACAGAGTGACTGAGGTTGACGGGAGCTGACCAAATCAAGGGTTGTTATAGTGTTATGGTGAAGTTTAATTAATAGCACGTATATTCACCTGAGAACTGATTATGTCTGTGTTACAGACCCTGGTAGCGTGCATTTAAGTGTATATGAAAATAAAGTAGTAGATCTCAATCCATTTACTTATTTTTATTTTAAATGGGCCTAAAGTCTCATAATTCTTTTGTCTAAAAAAAAAAAATAAATAAAATCCTTTTTAATAGCACCCCCTGTTCCAAATGACTTCCAGAAGCCCTGGGTGGTGGAGCTAAAGATGGAGCTTATCATGGTTTCTGTTTGTTTCTGCTCTCTGTGCATCTTTTGTGTCGTAATTAAAAAGAAGCTCAATGCCAAAACCATTAAACATTTTAACCTGCTACAGTATCTTAATATGTAATGTTTTATTTATGAGTTGCTTTCTGCTATTTGTTTTATATTGATCAGTATTAATAGTCAACATAGTTTTCTCTGTGTAGCCTATTTTCCTGAATTTACTTCTGGTTTGCTGTTCTGCCGATAGCAACCTAGCAAGTAATCGAAGCGTTATATTGAAGATAGATTGTGGATACTCAGAAGTGACTTGTATCCAGCTTAACTAAGACACCAATGGCAACTCCATGTGAGGTGAAAAAAGTACAAAAAAAAAACAGCAGAAGAATGCTGCAGTTCTGTTTTTGGCCAGAGGTGGCAGCATTATAACAAAACAGTGATGCATTTTTAAGACTAAAAGGAAGCCTATTATACCACAATAATATTTCATCTGAAATGATTCAACTAAGCAGATACTGCATGCTTAAACTCTTTAACTCTTAAAGAATATCATCAAAAAGTTATTGAAGAGCAATAAAAAAAATTACTTAAAAAAACAAGTTGTTTCATAGCCACAGTTTGTTTCTGCTCAGACAGCAGAACTGAGGAGGATTTCTTGATATTCTTGATCAACTGAAATGTCTTTGTGCATAATCTTAAGAAGGAATAGCATTTTAAAATAGTTGAAGGCTCAAATTAGTTTTTTTTATGATATATGTCCTATATATAAGTAAATTAACAATAAAATATTAGCTGTCTGCAAAGAAAATGTGTTGTTCCACCATACAGCCTTTACTTGGTGCAGCACCACAGGAAAAAAAAACCTTCAAATGGATTTTTACTATGAGTTACTTTGTGGCCGGATGTATTGAGAGAAGGGTGGCTCAGTTAATTCTCTTTTAATTCTCTTTGTTACCATTGAGTCTCTACAGGTGACAACAAGTTCATTCTCACATCTTGCACATATTTTATTTACTTTAAGAAAAACGGACTAGTGAATTGTCAGATATAAATAACTTTGCTGTGTGATTGCACTTAATCATATTAACTAAAACAAATAAAGAATGCTTTGTATTTCAAATCTGAAAAATAATGAGTAACCAGATTTATACTTTGTTTTATTATAAAGGTATTGATTTGAAAAACTAAAACAAAAGATGAAAATATGGTAGAAATAAAAAAAAAACTTAAAAATAGTGATTAAATCTCACATCCTGTCTTAAACACCTAATTTTTCTGCAGGTGTCCCCAATTTACTATTCATGATACTTTTCCTTTCAGAATAAATTATTACATTGAATATTTATTTCTTACTGGACTGTCTTAACATTCAGTCTAAGAAGTGTTCAAAGATTTAATCTGGCTGAGCCATTAAAGAGTAAGTCCACCTCATGAGGCTGAATTTCTCTCTGTGATCGAGGCAAACAAAGAGGAATCTAGGCCAAGCTTTCAGTCAGATGGTATCGCTTCGTTTCTACCATTCTGAAGAAGGACGGTCTGCTTTTTCTTCTTGCCAGAAATGAGAGCCTCACTTTTTTAAGCAAGTTTGTGAAACGGGAAAATGAAAAAGATAAATGCTGAAGAGCAAACCTTTCTCAATAAGCAGAGATTATAACCTTGATAAATTTATTGCTTAAAGCTCTATAATCTTTTTCTGGTAAAGTGCTGAAAATTCAAATTGTTAAAAAAAGAAAAAGAATTGATTGTTTTTATAATTTACTTTAGATTTGATAATCTTTCATGAGGATTTTTTGCCTGCAGTCAGTTGAATGTACAGGGTTAAGATGCTGTTTCCTAAGTTTGTTTTATTTTACTTCTACATCCGTTTTACAGAAATAATAATATTATAATAGTGTTACTCAATAGGAATATAGATTTGGGACGCTTTTTTCATAAAACCATGATATCTAACAGTGGTATTTCTAACTTTAGAATAAGAGGGCTGCCTGCTTTTCTGTTACTACAGTTTTACTAGTTGTTGGAGCAGGGCTGCAGCTTAAGCAGGAATACCATAACGGTTCTGTAACAGAAAACTGAGATAAATAAAAGGAAACAGGGTTAGACTCAGCCACTATCATATTTAATTTCTAAATAAATTGTCTGTTCATCTGATAACTGTCCAATGACTGTATGTTCCTTCTCTGCTTGTTCTGTGTCCTCAGTACTTTGTTCTGCTTCTGTGTATCTTCCTGTTGGAGATCGTGGCTGGTGTCTTGGCGTACATCAACTATCAGCAGGTAAGCCACATTTTCATTAAAATACCAACTGTTTTTATATTTGAATCATGTTATTGTGCAAAAAGATATTCAGATGATGCACAGCGTAAAATAAAATCACTAAAGGTCATAAATCTTTACTTTCTTTGGGTTTTCATAAATTTTATCATTATTATTAATTTTATTCTTCTTCCATCTGTTTTGTGATGACTTTAATGTGTGTTACAAACGGTGTGTGATGGTATAAAATCAAAAGAGCGTGCTGGCAGGGTTTCGTGCCTCCTAATCCAAGCACGAAATCAGAAGCCTTGTAACAGAACGTAGACAACTGTTTCTGCTCCCACATGGCATGTGCTGTGCTGTAATCCTAGCCGCAACAAAACCAGCATGATAAATGAGATTGCTGGAAGGAAACACGGGACAGCCCATTAAAAATACAAATATCTGACTTCCCATATTACTGTCGGTACATTTAATCCAAACGAAATGAAAAGCGCCTCCAGTTGTGCTCGCATCAAGGCTGAATGCCCTGTCATAGCTTTGTGAAACCCTTTTTTGAGAACTTTTCTCACTTGTATCTGCAACTGGTATAAGCCTCATTCTTCCACAGCTGAATGAATCAAAATTAGGTTCATCTCATGCTTTACTGATTTAAAATCTAAAACCCTAAACTGACATCCACCTTTCTGTTAACAGGAGGAATTGATCTGATGTTAGTCTACCTCTGAAGCTGCTGTCTGGTTTCTTGTAGCACAGCAGCATACGCCTCTAGAAGTGTACTGCAATAAGTGGAGCTACTTTAGTTATTGAAAATATCCAATTTATCACAAGCCTACAGAGGTACCAGCTTTGTCTGACCTAAGCTTAATATATTCAAGGTTTTAGGGGCTAATTTCTCTCATGTAGTTCGCTACCAGCTTTTCATGACGGCCCAATTTAAGTTATTTCATTTCTGACTCAAGAAAATAACCTATTGAAGTTCCCCTGTTTTAGGTGTTTATTATTATTTTGCCCCTCTGCATATTTGAATGTTTTTATTATTATCATTTTACCTTGGTTTTATTAAAATGGGTTACAATGAAAACGAATACCTGTTATTTCTACAGGTTTCTTAAATGTCTTTCAGAGTAATTATATTGCTAGAATAGAAGCTATGTTATTTTTTGTTACCGCTGTTAGACATTATGGTATTTAGAATAAAAACAATGACTTCAGCTGTTCATGGATATACAGCAGGAGGTTTTGAATCATTGCTCAGTTTTAGCCACCTGTCAGAGAGGTGCCATTACATTAAATTAGTGTTTATAATTTAAAGGGCCTCTGGTCTTAAAAAACAAGCACTTATCATCACTCCTCCATTGACATGCATTCCAGTCAGAATAACGTTTGATTGCTATAAACTTGGAGTGCTGGAGACATGTTATCTTTGTTTTCATCTGTTTAAAGGTTGAATAGAAGGGAGTGCGTCGAGAGCAGTTTTATCGTGTTTGATGGTGGATTATTCTTTCCTTTCTCTATTTAGCGGGTCTAAATCACGCTAAAAATGCTCCAAGTAAAACAAATCGAGAGAATTTTACAGTATGCTGGGCGCCTCTAGCGATCCCCAGCTATGAGTGTAATCAAACATCCTCCGGCGGGTGTACATTTTTAATTATCCAAACAACCCAGTTTTGCGTCAAATTTCAATCTGGAAAGGAAATAGATTAGACAAACAGCTGGCAACTGGACAATCTGTGGCGTCCAAGCCGATACAGCACACTATGTTCGGATTATTTCACGGCAGATTATTTTATCATCCATCTTGCTCCCACAGCATTGGTTGGATTCAATATACCAAAGTTGCAATGGTTTGTTTTCTCTGGTTTAATAAAGTTCCTGATGGCAGTAAAGGCGATTCAAAGCATTGTTTATTTTTTTTATGAATTTTTTTATTTCATAAAACAAAGAACCCTAGCTAGTTGCACAGTTTATTAGAGCGGCAGCTCCAGACGGCTTTCCATATCATTATGGTCCAGGCTCCAGAACAACAAGAACTGCGATGGATAACAGTCAGTTACCGCAGGCGGAGACCCAGAGCTCGAACCCCACCGGCCCAAAGCCATGAGCCGAACCAAATAAAAACCACATCTGAAGAGCAATGTTTCCCATCCGGACAGCAGAAATGACCCGGTGCTTCGACCGCTCGCTGCGATCGGATTGTTGAGGGACTGCCTTCCCTGTCCAGGCACAGCAGCTACGCACCGCACTAGCGCCAGCATGAAGGGCTCCAACACTGACCGCCAGCCTTCACGCCATGGCCGCAGCAGCACGCTGCTAACAAAACCGAACCCACCCACCAAAGAACCAGTCCGAATCCCATGATTCCCTCTTCAAACAAAAGGTTACACTCTGATTTAAACTAAGTAAACACAGAACCATATGGAAAATGCTCTGAAAGATAATGAACTTCCACCGGCTCTGCATAAGATCAAAGAACATTTAGCAGCAGTGATTAAACCAGCGAGCATTAATAAAACAACTAAGACTCTGATTGCTTCGTATTTGTCCTCGTTAAAGGCTAAAAACTCCTTCACAAAGGTGAATAAATATTGAATCGGTATGTAAAATGACGAAACTGACATCACGGCATCCCTCAGTGGGTCACGTGACAGAATGAGGAATTTTGGGTTGTCTGCTATCTTAGTGAATTATTTTATGCTGTCAACAACAAAATGCTGGACCTTTTTTCACTTGAATGTATTTAATTTTGTACACACTATTAAATTAAAAACTATAATTATGTGCTCTGTATTTGAACTTTAAAAGACTTGATCTCTGTTTGGTGACTCTCTTACTTTCAGAAGCCAAAATTAATTAAATCTGGGAAAGACAGATTTTTTTTCTTTAAGAAAACATCGACACTGGTGGATGCTTTAAAACTTCTCTTTTGCTGAGTGGATTTGGTGTTTAAGGCTTTGAATATTGTTAATATAGTCTAAAATCTTAACATGCTGGGTGTCCTCTAGACAGAAGACTTCATATTTTTGTACACCTGTGACTGCTCCTTTTTTAACCTTGATGGGCAGAAATGAAGGCAACAAACATCACATTATTGCAGCATCAGTGTGTGAAGAACTTTTAGATGTGCAGATTTATTAGTTTTTGCATTTCAAGGGTTTTTTGTTTTCCGTTGAGAGATTCAGTCTGTTGGAAAGAGTCTCACTGCAGTAGATCATCAGGCCAAGCACAGATGATGCTGAGCGACATACTGAAGGTCACAGAGGGCTGGGAGGAAAGTGAGGAAATATGGATTTATTGAAGCTTAGGTCTTTATGGAATAACTCATCAGAGATATAATTATAGTATTATGATATGTTTTTGACTGTTTTGTTCTGTGTTGTTAACTGTTTACTTATTTAGGGAACATTCCTAATGTTTTTCTGTCTCACTGATAAAAAGCTGAATGTTTAGTGCAACAGCTGGCTATGAAACCTGCTTCTATGAAGAATCAGCTGCATCTGGTTGCTACCATCTCTCTTAAATCCAATGAAAGCAGTAAAGCTGAACTGTTTTCCAAATACCAATGTTAACATTCTCTCATAATGAGGCAAACTGCTTAATTAATCTATAGAAAACATTTCTAAGTTTCATAGTTTAGTGGAGCAACATTTGCTTTGCTGCAGTAACTGTGTGTTGATTGAAGGGTCACATCTTTTCTCTGTTTCCTAAACTGTCAACAGGTAACCTTGGAGACCTTAACACCTTCGTTTCTCCTCCTCATCATGTCCTCCATTCCCTCCTATCTTTGTCTTTAGCTCTCTGTCTTGTATCTCTCCATGTCTTCCATTCATCTTTTCATCATTCATTCCCTTGATATCCCCTTCATGCTTTGATTTCCAGTAGTTCCCCAGCTGGCTTGTTGCCATAGAAACTGAGCCCCACAGACCTCCTGCTCCTCCAGTGAGCATTTTTCTGCCACTGCTTAAAGCACGGAGAAAAATACAGACTTTACTCTCCTTTATCCCGGCTTTACCGTCTGCGCCGCTGCCATCCATGGCATGTATGGCACAATAGAGGGCTTTATCCCCATCGTCCTGAGGTGCTATATTTAGAAAACTTTGTGGTTGCTGCTAATTCATCACTTATGTTATTGCTTTGATCGTAGTGGTTGCTACAACATTTCTATGTGTGTGTCTGTGTGAACAGCTAAATGATGAGCTAAAGCAGAACCTGAAGGCCACTATGACCAACAAGTACAGACTGGGCAAGGACAATGAGCACATCACTCAAGCTGTGGACAAGCTGCAGGAAGAGGTAAGTAGACGGATGGACAAATTGATGGTCTAACAAAGATTGTTTCTTTAACACTTAAAAATCTGTCAAACTCAGTGCATTTATTTCTTCGGATCTAGTAATTGTATTTATAACCTAAATTTGCACATAGTTTTTGATTGAGCCATATCTAGTATACGTATCATTTCAGCCTACTACTGTAGATATATTGATGGTAGAATTGGACTAAACAAATTACTATTTTCCTCACTATCTCTTCATTTTATGCAGAATGTCTTTTCCCCAATATCTGCAGGTTTCCTTCCCTTACCTCTAAATAAATGTACGACGCAGATGAGAATCAGTTTATAACTCGCTGGATTTTTATCAAGCCCTTCATTATTGTTTGGATTATTTGAGCTCTCAATCTCTAAAATACAAAACAACTAATCTTTTATCCTTGGTGATAATTGGTGTTTTACATTTGGTCTCTCATATTCTGCATTCTTGTAACTTTTGGACCCAAGTATTCCCCATTGCCTTTCAGAAGTATTGTTTTGTGATGCATATCTGAGAGGAAAAACAGGTTATTGGATATGTGATTTATGAAGGTTGGCATGCTTTAATTCTCTGCCTCCTCTTGTCATTACGTCTTGTAACCAGCTTTTGTCTCTACCAGCTTTGCACATCTATAGACCCTTAGTAAGATTAGATGTAGAGAGTCCTAAAGTATTAGGTCCAAAGTTTCCATTTACACATAAATATGCTGAATTTCTATCATAGTTCAGGCTGGATATTTTCAGTGGTTCTCCTGCTGGGAGTTAAACCTCTGCCAGGTTTGTTAAGTCCCTGCTGAAAAAAGGTTCCCTTATATTATTGCTGCCATCGTCATGTCTTTCCATGAGGATGTAGTGTTTAAAGTTTAGCATGTATGCTTCATGTGATTTAAGCCACTGGGTCAACATGTTTCCTGTTCAATCTGAAGGCAGATCTTCTATAAAGCTTGCATTTCTAGATAGCTTTATGAGCTCTGTAAGAATTGTCCATTTTTAAAATAAAATGTTCATTGTCTTTATATGATATTTCTGGTTCAGATTTCTCAAATCCAAAGTTCAAACCTCGTTTCTTCTCCGTTCTCTTCATCAGTTCAAGTGCTGCGGGAGCCACAACTCAACTGACTGGGAGGAGAACGGATGGATCCGCAGCTCAGCCTCTGAGGGCCGGAAGGTTCCTGACAGCTGCTGTAAAACTCAAATTCCATTTTGCGGGACAAGGGATCACCCCTCCAACATCTACAAGGCGGAGGTGAGAAGAACATGTTGCCTTCTGAAGAGCAGGTCATCTGTTTTATGTTGTGCACTTAAGTACAGGCAGTGAGTGCTGCAGAACTTATATATATATTTATATATATGTGTTTGTTTTTGAAGTGAAGCTTGAGCTACACTCCTACATCAACTGATGCAACCTGAATCCACTGTTTGTTTCTTCATTTAGGGTGGTTGCATCAGCAAACTGGAGAGATTCATTCTGGACCATCTACAGATTATTGGAGCTGTGGGTGTTGGGATTGCTTGTGTACAGGTGAGCACGTAACTCCTCAGCATAAGGAGGTATTAAGTAAACATAATATCTTATCTTATCTTTCTTCCGATCCACAGCTCATTGGAATGGTGTTTACTTGCTGCCTATACCGAAGCCTTACAGAGTCGTACTACTGAGAATCTCAAATGGTTGGGAAAAAAAACAAACCTTTTTTTTTATACAATTAGGCACTCAGATTGCAATCTCAGCCTCATCTTGAAGATCCCAGCATGGAGAGAAAGAGTTTTTGAAAGGAACCAAGGGGAATTTTATCACAGGTGGTTTAAATTAGTTGGAAATGGCCAAATGATGATTTTCTGTTTTCTGCCACACTGATTCCCATAATCTACTTTTAATACACACAGGACGGTTTGTCCATGGCAGAGTGGCGTAAATATCTGTAGATTAAAACCGACACTTTGTGGAAAGTGTTAATCCTAAACGTAACAGCTTTTCTCTACCAGCATCAAGGGCTTGGATTAGTGTAAATCTCTAAACTCAACAGGAAATTGTGCCGATAATAACTAGAAAATTATACATTTCAGTGGCCTTTAAGATATTGATTATTCTTTGCAAATCATTTTTCTTCAGGGTTTCACTCTTTGTCTCTTACTGGTCGAGGTATTTTATAGTAAAAACATGTTTTAATAATTTCTGGATCAGTTAGTGACCCACTCAGAGCTCAAATACTAACTCTAATGTGCCAAAGCTCATTTTAATGAAATAGTATGAACTATATGAGCATTATGTTGCCTGTTAGAAAAAGCCTACTGTTTTTATTTTATTTTATATATGTTCCTGATTTTATACAGCTATGCCAAAATTATAAACAGTAAAAAATAAACCTGCTGTATCACATCTGTAGATTCTTAAATTAATGCTTTGTTTACTTTTTTAAGTACATCTTGACTACAGTTTTATATTTAACACACACTAGTAGGAAATTAATTTCCTCTCTGTTAGTAGTGATGACATTATGTGTGCCTTTAAGGATAGCACTGAATTAACCTGCTGTATTTCTGTTTTTGTTTTAATAAACACTGGCCCGTGCTACTATTTGCTTTTGTTTTTCTCTTTTTGCTCTTACTTAAATCTGGGTGGTAGTTTAATTCCAGGTATATTTAAAGAATTTCCGTTAGAGGATTTGTACATTTTACCTTTACTTGGGTTCAGAAATAGATTTCTAAATGAACAAAAAGCCTATAAGTGTGTCTTGTCGTTAATTAGCCCTTTTTACTCTAATAGCCCTAAAAAAAAAAAGTAAATTGAACACTAATCAGGTCAACTAATTAGTAAATACAATCTGTTTTGAAAGAACAAAAAACAAGCTTTGAATTAAACACAGACCACTCCATCTGATCAAGTTTAAGATGTATGATATGTTTGTAGTTACGCAGCACTGATGCTTTCACACACAGTTTATGGGTCACATCATTTCAGAAATCACCTTATTTCTACAAAGACATAACCAGTGGCCCGTACACAACTGCTACCAGCTTTCAGGCACATTAGGATATTAACTAAAAGGCAATTCCCTAATGTTCCTGCTCTGTTGTTCTGATGGGGATGTGGGATGGGAGCCATCTTTCCAACAGCTACTCCGGCAGTGTATAATGGAGTGTAATGAGAGTTCCTCTGTTGTCGGGTGATAGGCCAAGTTGTTAAGAGCCGAGGTGACTGCATCAGTGTCGTTACAGCGAGCAGCTGCAGTTACTGAGTGCAAACGCAGTGGGGCAGCACTCTCCTGGCTTTCACTGCCACAAATGGCACATTGGTTAAAACAGGCGTTTAGTGTGTGTGGAAAAACAGCCAGAGGTTGTTGTAGATTACTGCCTTCCTCACTCAATTACTCAGCTCTGTATCCTAAAGGGTGTCGAAGGAAATATTTAGAATGTGTTGAAGAAGATGAGAAATGGAAATTAGGACATTTTTATCTGATTTGCAATGACAAATAATATCCAGGGGGAATTCTGTTTGCATTTGAAACCATGTCTTTACCCTCAAAGCTGTGTCCCAGTTATCTGTGATGAATAGAAAAGAGTTTAGATGGTCAGCTCGCTTTTCAGCGTGTCTAATTTCCACTGAGACCACTAACAATCTAAATACAGCTGTTTTCCAGTTAGTGTGGCCGACAGTGTAACAACATTTCCCCTCTGTGTAGCAGGGACACGTGTTGAAGCCAACCCACAGGAATCACTGGTCACACTCCCCTTCAGGGTGCTCTCACTGCGATCCTTGTAAAAGCTGAGTCATCCTGGGCAGATTGAGCAAATGACTGGGTTATTCCACCCTCCCCATCTTTCATGAGGGAATTTCATTCACGTTTACAGTTTTCATTTGAGTATAAGTAGCTGAACACGTGGCGGTTTGAACAAGAAACCTTTCCAAAGAGCAGATATCTGTGGAATGCTCCTGAAAGTCGCTGCTTTTCTTTCTCCATTTTATCTCACTAAGGATAGATGGCAGAAATGATGACGACCCTTTCACAAATGTGTCCTGCTAAAACAGAAATATCATAAATCTCAGTGGCTCTGCAGGAGAGCCGACGTCCTTGCCCGTTATGCTTGCAGACTGTGACAGCCTGCATCCAGGCTCACACAAGGGGTATGCTAATAAAACCGGTGCATGACATTTTCAAAAATATCTTCTCCACTTCTCTCTCTGAACAGCTGTCCATTCTGTGCATGTCACCTGCTGCTTCTTGGTTGTATTCAGTAGAAAATCAGGCTATTTTTAGTCCATATAGCCCCCCCACAGATCCTTTACCTTCCACCTTTTACCTTGGAGGTGATATGGGGACCAAGCTGGGATCTTTAATGCAGTTTGCCTGCAGCTGGTGCCAAGAAAATGAAATGCAGGCGTTCGTTTCCAGGGTTACCTGAGAGCAGGGGACCCCAAGGGTATAGAGGCTGTCTACTCCCGTGTTACACAAAAATTTTCATATCTTTTCTCTTGAATACGGGGAATTTACTTACGGTAGGTAACTATATATTTTTCTTTTAACATTACCTAGATTCACTACATATTTATAATAAACAAACCCTGTATGTGCAGTCTTTGATTTTATGCTACGTGTATGGTTAAAAATAAACAAGCAAACAAAAAAGGCATACATCTTCCTACAGGTCTGGCATTCAAAGTATTGTGTTAATAAAAGTATTCGTTTGGAATAACACTATCTGACCACCTAATCGAAAAGCATCAGCTGTAACATACAGGTGTGTGTTAACACTATAACAAGGTAGAAATTGATGCTTTTGCCTCTAAAGAGATGGAGAACTTTTATATTGACAGGATTAGGAGAAGACTTAACAGGTGGATTGTTTTTTTTTAAATCTTTTTTGGACTGACTGAACAAGTGCACTTTTAAAGATGTGCCAGGAGAAAAACTTTGCCGCCTTTAAAAAAAATGTATATGGTATGATTTTAGGGTAGGGCTGTACAATGACACAATGGGTAGCACTGCTGCCTTGCTGCAAGGTTCCGGGTTGATTCCTGACCTGGGGTCTTTCTACATGGAGTTTGCATGTTCTCCCTGAGCATGCCTGGGTTCTCTCCTGGTACTCTGGCTTCCTCCCACAGTCCAAAAACATGTTAGGTTAATTGGCTTCCCTGAATTCTTCTTAGGTGTGAGTTTGTGCATGAATGGTTTTTGTCCTGTTTGTCTCTGTGTTGCCCTGCGATCGACTGGCAACCTGTCCAGGGTGGACCCCGCCTCTCGCCCGTAGACAGCTGGAGATAGGCACCAGCAACTCTCGCAACCTCAACAGGGATAAATGTCACAGAAAATGGATGGATGGATTTTTAGGGCAGAAAAAATGGGTTTGCTTCTTTATGTATTTGCTGTTGCACTGACAACTGCAGCTGACATTGCATCCCTGGGAATCATAGTTAAATGTAAAAAAACAGCATCTCAGTGGGAGATGCAACATCAGTGCTAGCATCAATCGTTATATTTGTCTGATGCTAACATTTATTTCATTATCTAAAGTGTGTTACCATGCAAAAACATATTTTCTCAAAAATTCAATTGACTTATTTTAGACTGATAGGGAACGAGTTAAGTTGCATGGCCTCTATACACAGCACCATATTTGGAGAGAAGTAACCACACCACATACAAAGCATAAAAGTGGAGGGGGGGATGACTTGGGTCTGTTGTTTAGTTACACGACCTGAATACCTTACTGTTATTGAGCTGGGTTATTAACAATCAACTCTACTAAAGTCAAACTGGCTCATACCCAAACAAAACTGTTGCTTAAAGGTGAGTGGTTGAAAATTGGTCTGCAGACTTTAGTAATAAAGAACATTGTTACTTCAACTTCCCAAAAGTAGTCACAGGTAATTAATCATAATGGTGTTAATGTTAATTAAAATTTGACATTGTCAAATCTATGTTTTTTATTATTTTTACTCTGTTTTTTTTACATTATAGTTAAACATCGTTATTTTGTTGTTTTCTTAAAACTGCATTTGACCATTACTCCTGAGCTGTGCACACTGGTGACCCTGTAAGGTCTAAAACTAGTTTTCTTTGATGTATGTCTGCATGCATGCTCTGTAGCCCAGCATCTCTGCTTATTCCTTTTTTGTTAAAACCCCTGGTTGTTTATCTTGTGTGTGTCTGTGTGAGCGAGAACAAGAGGAAGTGTGTATATGGGGGTAACAAATGGAAAGCTGGGTCTGTAGATGGCAGCAGCACTCTGGGCCAATCTGTCTCAATAAAATTTGGAAATTGTGTTGGTTTTTTACTCTGCTCTCAAAAGCTGCCAACTGGAATTGAAATTAATCTAAAAATGAGGCATTAGGTCCATCATAAGGTGTAATATGAGAAAAGAAGGATGAATTCAGTGTCTCTTGTATGGTAGTTAAAATGCACAGCCAAGTATTTGTTTCTCTCTATATAAATACTTAATCTGAATAATAATCATTAAAAATTAACAAGATTGCACAAATTTTAAAGAAATAAGCATGAGCCCCCACCTTTGTGTTGATCAGGACTATCTGCAGTGTAAGCCTTAGATAATATCCTGCCTTGCCTGATTATTTTTGACTACTTTTCTTCAGTAAAAGTGATTTAAAGTGCTGACTTACGTTTTTTGGGGTGGTGAAAGAAAGGAGGAGGGCTCATTATATAAGTCATTTACATTTCCCACATTTTGGAAGTGATTGGCTGAGCGAAATGAGCCGCTGAGCCTCGGCAGCTTTCAAGCACCCTCCGGACTAAAACCTGGGAGCTGCAGGGAATAAAACCTCACACTGAGCTGCCTCTCAGCTTCTAGGAGTTGTCAGTGGTGCAGCTGTTGCAACTCGGAAGAACGCGGCTGGGGTAAAATCTGCTGTGGCTTTCATCCCACAGCATGCTGATACTGTAGTGCACACACCGCATCCATCACGCACACT